GATCAGTAAAACACAAACACAGTTCGTTTAGCACATTATATTCATAAATAATAATTACCTTTAGTATACTCTGATTGTAAGTTATATACTAAGGGATTGAATGGGCCTTTCAATTCCCTAGTGTGAAGTTTGCTGCTCGAGTCGACTTTAAGGGATTAAAATATACTTAAGGCCTGCGATACATAAGGCAATGAATTTTTTATTTTCCGCTATTGGGATTTTGTGGGTGGTAAGAAATACGAACTACGTAAAAGTATAAAAAAATGGTCTAAAGAGTTTCCTTCGCTTTCAGAAACACGATATTCCGTGCTTGCCACATATTTGACCGAAACTTTCAAGGACACAACAGATAAATTTATTAAGGTACCTAATTAATTTAACCATGATGTTGTAATTAGTCACAAAAAAGCATCCCATCCTGGAGGGTTTAACGCATAATAGACGAAAACAGATCATCGGTAGGCTATATTTAGATACACCACAAAACCACAGACAAAGCAACATCCCACAACATGAATTTTAAGCGAGTTTTAGTTCGTCAAATTTTCAAACCAAGTCATGAAATGTTTGCTGAAAATAATAAATACATCGTCGCTTGAGAACTTGTTTGATCTATAGACCAGAGCGTACTCAAACCAATATCGACTCTAAGCCGACTGTCGTTAGAACTGATTTGACTGATACACATCCACTGCAAGGAACTAACCGGTTTCGACCATCTGGTCGGACTTTACAACGAATAAGTGAACATCTTAGCGATTTAATACATGTTCCCGAATGACAAAATTTACATTTCAAATTGTACATATTATCAAATGGTGAAACGCTCAACAAAATTTGTCTACTCATCCCCACCAACACTAAATGTAATCTCCAAATTTTACAATAGTTAATGTTATTTAAATTTTATATCCTCTGTTTATGGTTTATGAATCCGTGTTGAGTTTTTACCGCAGGCTTTAAGATTTTTGGAAAAAAATCAACAACATTTTACAATGGAAGCATGCTAAATCGTTCGTCAAAATTTATCCGTTCATGCTCCCCAGGAATTGATGATGTCATCTTACAAGTTTGTCGAATAAATGTTATTTAAATGTTAAAAAGTAGAAACGTATTCATAAACCCTGAACTTGTGGTTTATGAATACGTGTTGAATTTTTATCCTCGATATTGGAATTTTTGGGTTTTCCGATTTCTTGCTTTTTCAACTTTATATTTCTCAATATTTTGATTTTGGGGTTTTTCAATTTTTCGATTTCTCAATTTGTTTCAGTTTTACAACTTCTCAATTTGCCGATGGTTCAGTTTTACGATTTCTCAGTTTTTGGATGTCTTCCAATTTTGAGATTTTTTAATTTTTCGATTCTTCAATTTTTCTTATATTTTTTAATTTTTTGATAGTTTAGTTTTGACATATTACAGTATTTCGATTCTTCGACTTTTCGATTTTTTTAATTCTGGAGTTTTTGATTAAGTAGTCGATTTTGTACATTTTGAATTTTCAATTTTTCTTTAAACTTTAGATTTTTCAATTTTTCGATTGTTTTATGCTTCGATTTTTCAATTTTTCAACTTTTCGATATTTTAATTTTTCAACTTTTAAAATTCTGGATTTTTCAACTTTTAAAATTCTGAATTTTTCGTTTTCTCGAGCTTTCGATTCTTCTATGTTTCAATTTTCCAATTTACGAATTTTTAAATTTTGGATTTTTTAAATTTTTAATGTCTTGATTTATCAAGTTTCCGACATTTCGATGTTTTGATTGTTCAACTTCTCCAATTATCAGTTTTTAAATTTTTAACTTTTCAATTTTTCGATTTTGGCCTATTTCGGTTTCCCAATTTTTGGACTTTTCGATTTTTCGACTTTCTCGATCCTTTGATTTTTCTATTTCCCGATGTCTCAGTTTTTGAAATTTTCGATGTTTCGATTTTTCGATTTCTGGGTATTTTGACTTTTTACTTTTCGGCTTTTCGGTTATGCGATTTTTCAATTTTTTTAAAAATTGAATTTTGTAGTTTCGATTTCCCGATTTTTGAATTTTTCGATATTTAAATTTTTCAATGATTTAAATTTTAGATTTTTCGATTTACAAATTTTTCAATTTTTTACTTTTCGATTTTTTGATTTTGGCCTATTTTGGTTTCTCAATTTTTCGACTTCTTGACTTTTCAACTCCTCTAGTTTTCGATCCACTGTTTTTTCAATTTCTCGATGTTTCAGATTTTGGAATTTTTCGGATTTTCGATTTTTTACTTTTTACTTCCAATTTTTCGAAATCTCGATTGTTCAGTTATCCGATTTTCAATTTTTCAATTTTTTAAATTTTGGAGTTTCAATTTCTCGATTTTTTTCGATTTCTAAATTTTAGAAATCCGAATTTGTTTTTTTTTATGTTTGGATTTCTCGATTTTTCAATTTTTCGATAGTTTAATTTTTCAATGTTTTAAATTTTAGATTTTTCGATTTTTCAGTTCCTCATTATTAGCCTCTTAGTAAGTAGGTATATTAAAAAAAAAACTCAAAACTTTTCTTATTTTGAATTGTTTTTATAGTTTTGAGGATTATCTTCGGTGTAGAAATTCTAACAGTTTATTAATTTAATGTGTTGTATTTGACTTGTGTAAAACTATATTTGGAAGTTTTTAACACCAATAAAGTATTGAAAGTGAAAGAAATATTTCTAGTTTTCAATTTTTCGATTTTTCAATCTTGCAGTTTTACGATTTTTTATGTTTCGATGTTTTGCTATCTTGTTTTTTCGATTTTCAAAGTATATTTCACTTTGCAATTTTTAGATTTCTCGATTTTTCATCTTTGCTATACTTTAAGTTTTCGATGTTTAAAATTCTGGATTTTAGGATTTCTCGAGCTTTCAGTTCTTCTAAATTTCAATTTTTTAATTTCCCGAATTCTTAAATTTTCGATTTTGCAATTTTTGAATTTTTCAATTTTTTGATTGTTGAATTTCGTGATTTACTTATTTGATTTATTTTTAACTTTTCGACTCCTCGATTTCTCAATCCTCTTATTTTTCGATTTATCGATGTCTCAGATTTTTCGATTTCTCGATTTTTCGTTTTTTCAATTTTTCGATTTCTATATTTTAGATATCCGAATTTGTTTTTTTTTTATGTTTGGATTTCTGGATTTTTCAATTTTTCGATATTTTAATTTTTCAATGTTTTAAATTTTAAATTTTTTGATTTTTCAGTTCTTCAATATTAGCCTATTAATATATTAAAAAAAAAACTCAAAACTTTTCTTATTATGAATTGCTTTTATAGTTTTGAGGATTATCTTCGGTGTAGAAATTTTAATAGTTTATTAGTTTAATTTATTGTATTTGACTTGTGTAAAACTGTATTTGCAAGTTTTTAACACCAATAAAGTATTGAAAGTGAAAGTGAAAGAAATATTTCTATTTTTCAATTTTTCGATTTTTCAATTTTGCGGTTTTACGATTTTTTTATGTTTCGATTTTTTGCTATCTTGGTTTTTCGATTTTCAAAGTATATTTCACTTTGCAATTTTTAGATTTCTCGATTTTTCATCTTTGCTATACTTTAAGTTTTCGAGCTTTTGGTTCTTCTAAATTTCAATTTTTTAATTTCCCGGATTCTTAAATTTTCGATTTTGCAATCTTCCTCTTTTTAAAATTTTTCAATTTTTCAATTTCGTGATTTACCAATTTGTAACTTTCCAATTCTTTCATTTTGGACAATTTGGGTTTCTCAGTTTTCAATTTTTCGACTTCTCAACTTTTCGACTCCTCGATTTCTCAATCCTCTTATTTTTCGATTTCGCGATTTTTCGGTTTCTCAATTCTTCAATATTTCTATTTTTTAATTCTTCGATTTTTGGATTATTCATTTGCCATCTTGGTTTTTCGATTTATAAAATTTTTCGACATTCCAATTTTTAGATTTCTTGATTTTTCAAGTTTCTGATTTCTCTTTTTTTTTTAATTACCTGTTATGGAAACTTTACAATTTCTAGTTTTTTCAATTTACCAACTTTTCTATTTTTCAGTTTAATGACTACAAAAATCGTCGTTAATAATATGTAAAAAATAATGCAAAGTAAAACACAATACATATTTCTAAAAACATTAAAATAACTGCACTTACTGTTCCACTAGTATTGCTAATTTAGGATGTTTTGCTAGTATCAATCACGATTAAATTAATTAATTTTTAGTTAAACAAAAAAAATGGTTGCATGTCAAAATCGAATGAAACATAGGAAATGTGATATTATGTTTGTAAATAAAAGCATCTAAATAATAACCCCCAGAAATTCTGAACGCTTAGAGTCGACATTGGCCTGAGGGCGCTCTGGTCTGTAGATCAAACAAGTTCTCAGGCGATGACATTCTAATTTGTCATTGACCATGTTCACGATAATACATATTAAATCCTGTGCAAAATTTCATGACAATAAATTTTTTTAATTTCTAGCTACAACAAACTAAAATTTTTTTGCTCAATTTTGATTTTTTTTTTCAAAAATCTAGATATGTACAGTTGAAAACAAGAACGTGTTAATCAATGACATTGCACCAAAATAGTTGATTTATTTTTGTAATGTAAAAGTTCTGAAACATGATTGAGGTCTTAGAAAAGGGGTTGGAATAGCAGAAGTTATGACGCTTCCTTTATCTAAGACCTACGTGCAAAATTGTGAAAGTTCAACTGAATCATACTAATGGTACATAAGCGTCAACTTTATTACAAAAGAAAACTAACATACATATATCGTTGTCACAGCAGCTGTATATTTTTACTTTATTCCTACAAAACTAAAATTTAGTTTTAAAAATGACGCTTTGGTTCTGTCAACTAAAGAGAAAATTGCACTGCAGTCCCGTGTGTGTCAAAAGTTAAGAGTACAAATATGAACGAGTGTTCTCACAGTGCACTGCATTATTAAAAAACCATATCCCTGCTGCATTTTGTCATGTCTTCCCCTGCCGTAATTTTAAGAGCAAAGCACTTACCGTAGCAGCTGTAACCGTCGGCTCGGAGTATAAACCCGGATTTGCAGTCGCACTCGTACATGCCATCATGCAGTTCGTAGCACAGCTGTTCGCAAGGACTCCCGCGGTCACATCGCCCTGAAACAGAAATGGCACAATTATCCTTACTCTCTACAAGCCAGAATTGCGACACAGCTATCAGGATAATGCGTCTCAACGCCAAGACAAATCCTGAGCTAAGCGTATTATCTTCAATTCTTCAGCCGTCTTTTCAGCAATTACACACCAAAGGTTGCCATATTCTACGCTCGCCTCAGGAAATTGGTGTTTGTGCGACAGCCACATGTTCTAAATTAGCAGTTTCTTCTATTAATTAATCATCTTAGAGAAACCTCAAGCCGAGATTTGCCCTTTGTAGATCTGACAGCCGTGTCTCATGAGTCGCGATGTTTGAAATTTATGGTTGATGATTTCGTATAATATAATTGCTTAGATTGACACAGCTAGCAAGTTGTTAATAGCTTTAATGAAACATCTTGCAAATAAGTTCAAATAAGTTCAGAGGATAGTTTGATTTTTCTAGATTGATTTAGTTGTTATAGCCACTTTAAACAAGTACAGAATTGGTGTTCAGAATTCTAAAAATCCAAGTGGGATAAACCAAAAACTTCGATAGCCAGGTTAAATGACCAATAATTGGGTGTCCTGTTCAATTTATGAAAAAGCTCCAGGGCTCGGGGGATTTCTACCCATAATTCAAAATCTGTCATTGTCCTCACTGCTGTCTATATAATTAACTGATTAGATCACTCTCCAATCCCGGCAAAATTTTATATTGACGTTTGCGGAAGCCAAAAGCATGTTGCTATATCAAACATAAAATAATGTACCATTGTTTCTGCCTTAATATTTCACAAAATAAAAAAAATTAGTTTGCTTGACGAACCCTATGTACCCAAATTAGAAAAATTATACACAATTTAGAAGGATTTTTTTTTATCATGAATGTGTAAATGTAAAATTTCCTGGTACTGAAAAATATAATAACCAAATTTTGTTGTGTGCATATGCCGACATGTTGTCAGTGTGTATTTAGATTTTAGAAAATCCATCTGTTGCCAAGCCATTAAATTTTTAAAAGCCTTAATTGAAAAAGAAAATGGAGATAGCAATTACCAACGAACATTTCAGGTGTCATTTTAAAAAAGAGGTAGAAAATTGAGAAAATGACCTCGGTGCGCTTTTTAGCTTTGGAATTATATGGAGTATGTAAATGAGACGGGGACCTGTATTTATTAAAAAAGTCCCGGATTAATTAGAGAAGTTTTATTTCGTTGCGCTCTAAATCGTCCGAGCCCGGAGAAGAAAATTCGTAACGTTTACTGTACAGCTGTATTGTTGCTATTTGCCTTAAAATTACAATAGTTCTAGTAGCGAAAACTAATTCATTCTTAAAATCATTACCTCAATTTATTCTTTTCGAGTTTATGTTAAAGACAAGTATTGATCTGTTTAGCAGATCTATTATCGATAAAGTATATATTGGAACTTTTTCTCGTTGCTTATTTTCGGCGAAAAAGCGTAAAAACATACTTTGTTATAATAATAATTCGCATGACCAGCCCCAACAAACAGATACAACAATACTAAAACAATGTTGGTCTATTAAACTATTTTATTGTTAAATTCAATTGTACTTGCGCAATTTTTTTGTAACTTTAGCGCAATAGTTCTACGTCTGTGCGTTATTTTTAGGTGCAGTGAGGTTAAAATTCAAACCGTCGATAGTTTCCATTTTTTAAGGTTACTTATATTCAAATAAAAATAATTACACAGGAGTTTGTGTCTCAAGATTCATATTAAAGCCATGAAATTGTTTTTAATTAAACTGAACCAGCTATTTAGATTTCAGTAAAATCAGCAGTTTGTTGCAAATTAGTATTGTCCGTTGCCCAAATGTAGCCGCTACTCGTCCGAATAGGGATGTTATGGCTCTTTTAAACAAATTTTAATTCTTAATTGCTTTTAACAAATTAGTTTTGTATCTTCACCCACCTCCATAGCGCTAACACAAATTTTACTACACATTTCCCATATATGTCTAAGAGTCACAATCGTGTAAAAGTATAAAATTAAAGTCGCTTCTCTGGTAGAGACACTTCTGTGTAGCTTATTGCAACTATTTTATTTTTTCACTCACTTTGTACTGTGCATTTTTTTTTAATTTCTGCTCTAGTTGGCAACTAGAAAATTAAAAAGATTTTAATAAGATTTCTTATTGAAAATAAAATGAGTCTATTTCTAGAAAATTGCCACGTTTTAATCCCATCAAATTTTTTATTTGTAGGAGCTTTTTAACAAAGAAAGCCATTCAGTGCTAGCAGATATCTGAGAAAATACGCAACGACTCTCTACCCTTACCCGAGTCGACAGAAATGAAAATTGTAAAATAACTCAAGTGTCACAAAGGAACAAAATATAATATAAAAACTTTTCTTTTTAAATAGTTTGTGTAGAGACGATGGTCTCCAACTGAGCGGGTCGAAATTAAAAAACTTAGTCTGACTTTAATTGAAATATCACACAACACAATTTCCTGTTGTCAGAAGAACAGTGTAAAAAATTAATACTTCCAGGATTTCTGCTTTATGAGTTATCTTTGATAGTGGCGCTTAACACAAAAAAGCAATTTAATAAGAGATAATATCGACTCAGCTCGGTCAATATTCTCTCCCTTGACATAACGCTTAAGACTAATATAGTGCTCTCCCTTGCTTATGCAAACCTAAAGCAACCCTCTACTTTCAAATGTGTGCCTCTAGATTAACCCGGGATTAGATAGTCGGTAATCTCTGTCGTCACTCCTTGCTATCTTAGATGTGGTTGTCAAGTTCACTCCATGTAAATTCCTTTTACATTTTCTGTTATATAAACTTGGATGTTTACTTTTCTGCCTTCAGAGCTTGAAAGTTTATATTTACAAGTTTAGTGTCGCTTATATCTAGATGTAAGAGGCACGTAAATTAAAAAAAGTGTTTAAAACTTAAAACTTACACACTCAAAATAGGACAAAAAGTGCATATTTACAGTTTTCCAGGTCCTTAGCTATGTTACTTTTCAAACTGTGACACCCCTTTACTAAGACTCCCCGTCCAGTTATAACTTGTGTGCGAATCTTCAATCTAGAATCTGCGTCATTATTTCCACATTTAGAATTCTGGACCGAGCCATAAAACCTTCTCGGCAACCCGAAGCATAAAGTAGCACCAAATAAAAAATCGGGAATGTATGAAATCAGCTGTAAAGATTATAACCGAAAATATACTGAACAAAAAATAATATCAAGCTTCACAGAGTTTAAAAAGCACAAAGAACACATATGCTTTGATAGATGCGAAATATGAAGTCTTTAAAAATATCAAAAAGGAGGAGACCTTTCAGGGTAGGTATATAATATATAGTTGCATAAACATCCTGATGATGTCCTCGGTAGTGAAACGAGTAGACATTTTGTGTCAAATTTCGTATTACCTACTTTACATTTGAATATTGTGTAACATTTTTGACAACAAGTATTTCGCTGCATATTTCACCCTGCAGTAGATTATCAAAATAGGAATATATAATTAATATAACAATTATATATTAAGCTAAGCAAAGCAAACAAAATTTTTTTTTACCAAACTTGTGAGATAATCTAACCTATACCATTCATTTGAGTGGGACGTGTTAAATGAGTGTGGTAATGTCATTACCTAACTCAAATGAGTGGGATAAGTTAAATTTGTCCCATTGTTATAAATAAAAATTTAGATCGTTTCCAACTTTGCTCCGGGATCAATAGTGAATTGTACAGCAAGCGTGAAATTGTATTCATTTACTCTAAATGCAAAATGTGCGATCATTTCATACAGGTTGTATATTAAATTTTTTCTACGATTATTCTTGTCGCTAAATTTTACATTATGAAACTCATTACTTTGTATTTAATGGTAAATAATAATTAACTATAATTAAACATAGTTAAATTATTCTATTAATTACTATTTGTGTACGGGTAATGAATACGTTAATAAATATGTACGTACTCAATTATGATTACTAAATACTTAGCCATTAATGACAACAAATGAAGTTGAATTAATCACATTTAATTACTAGTTCATAATTGCTGGAATTAATTTTCAAACAGTCACTGTTTTAGATGCTAGCAACGAAAATTGGTTCTAATTGTTTGAAATGAACCAAAGCAGCAGGAAATTAATTAATTCGACAATTCTTACGGAATGTAGAATACACATTGTTCCTAATCAATAACACATTCTGTTACATTAATTTTCTTACGTCTGTTAGTAAAGTTTTGCTCTAGCTGTGCATTTCGACATCCACACAACAAAGACTTTTCTAAAAGCTCATACGAGGAAGTTGTAGAACTTACGAACGATTTAGTCAGAAACTATACAATGGGTTTATTCTGTACATACGCTTACGAAATGGATAAATAATTCAAAGTTAAGTATACCCTAACAAAAAACTGAAGAGAATATAAAGTAGATTAAAAATAACTTCAGGTGTTTTTACATCGTTTTTATATTTTATCAATATTTTATAACCGATACCTGTACGTATCCAAGTAGATTTCTTGTTTTTTTTTATTGGTATGTAAATTTGTCACGATCTGACATTTAAAATACGCATATCACCCACAAGAAATTTAAAATACAGATAACCGAAGTTTCGTTGCGTAGGCTTTCTACCCTTTTTTACTCTAATTCGAAACACCTACACAATCATGAAGTAATTTTATCTTCAAAGGCAGTTTCATTTTATTACACACCGTAAAACGTTGCCGTAATATGTTTATTAAACTACATAATTTAACAATACACTGTACGTAATTTAATGAATAATAATTTTTAAATCCGTGCCGGCCTTAGTTACGAGACAATATTGCGGACGAATATCCATGTTGATTTTAAGCATACACTGAAAATACGCTTAATCTCGTGGTTAGTAAAAACCCTCTACACTACAATGCTGTCGACATCAAGCCTCCAGTTTTAATTAATGACTCGGCAATCTGCATCGCAAACAGATTAATTATGAACCACCAAAAAGCGACTTCGCGTTGCTATAAT